CTGAAAGACGTGCTGTCTGGTGAGGTGGTTCCCAATACCTGTGTATGGAGCTGCAGCCAGGGACTGTTAGAGCCTCGGTGACTGACTGATGGTGACCCCGGTGCTGAGAAGCTTGGGACGGGGCAGAGTGCTTCTCTGGGGCCTGAGGACAGAAATGGAATGGGGACAAAAGATGTGCTCTCACCTAAGCAATGTGTATTGGTCTGGGCTCAGGACAGTTACCTAGTGGTAGCCTGCATGGTCTCCAGGTGGGAGGAGGATGCTTCCGTGTGGCCCCATGCAGGGTGTGGGGCTGGAGAAGAGGATGACATGGGCAGAGTGGCCCCATGAGGAATGGCTGCTGCAGGCCACACGCCGTTTTCCCATTAGCGAGTGTTTAGTTCAGCGTTTTAAATAATTGTGTCCTCGGAATGATATTTAAAATCCATTTGGGAGGCAATGAGGCGGGAAAGTGCCTGTGCCATTGTGATGACGCTGCGCAGGCCGTGCCACACATGCATATTACAAACTCGTTACAGGCTCGTTTACACGCACGCTGCTCACTCCCCACACAACCTCTTTCTGATGCTCCTAATGTTTCTTCCCCACCACGGCTGCTTCTGCTCGGCGCTAGGGAGACATTTACTTGATAAGGCAGGCCTGGTGTCATCTGCAGCAAGAGGAGCAAGAGGCATGGCCACGGCGGTTGGGTGCTGGCCTTTGGAATGGGGATGTGTGGGGCATGCTTGGTGGTGGGACTGTCTTTCAGGTGTCCTGTCCTTCACCTGTGCTCCATGCTCAATGCAGAACTGTGAGTGCTTTCTGACAAGCCCTTGCACTTGTTATATTGCAGGCTGTGGACCCTGCTTTCAGCCCGTGCTCTGGGCACAGCTGGGAGAAGAGCTGTAGCACCTGTGCCAGGCTGATGATGAAGCTGAGTACCAGTGTGTGCTTTTGAATGTCCGTGGGAAGCTACATGGGCTGGAGGGACTCGGCTTGAGGGAGCAGATGGAGCAGCAGCTTCAGCAGTGGTTCCCTGAGTGCTGGTTAGTGGCTAAATGGGACTTTGCAGGGTTTACATGCGTGGGTGTGTAGATGGCTTTATGCGGTGTATTGTCCTGACTGTCCCCCCTCTACATGTGCCTGTGAGAAGTAGGGCTTCAGCTGCACTGTAACCTTGCTTTCAAAGAATAGGACTGTTTGTGGTGGGTTTATTCTTCAGGACACTACATTTAGTCTTCTATGCACAGGGCTTTGGGTATCTGCTCTACACCTGCCACTTCTCGTGGCTACAGCTGTGGCGCAAGAGGCGTGAGCCCATCTTCCGTTTCCAGTTGCTTGCTTATTGGCACATCTTGATGTGGATGGTGGGCAATGCCAAATGCAGGCATTTGGATTTGCACATGCATGGGATGCTTGGCTTTCCTTGCTGAGACCCTGAGTGTTGTCTGGAGTGTTGGAGGTGGGGAGAACCTGGCTGCTCTGTCTGCCAGGCTTTATTTTTCATGTGCATTGTGGTTCAGCTCGTGCAAGCCAGGCTGTGCTGCATGTCTGTCAGCTGCCTGTGCAGCTCTGCCCTCCCAGGGTGATGGCTTAGAGGCCCTGTAGGGAACAGGGTGGGCTCTGCTGTGGGGAAGGTAGCAGTTCATCCCTGATGGTGGCAGCGGGCTGAAACACAAGAGGGGAGGGTGTAACATGACAATGAATGAGGGAGTGAGAGGTGTGATGAGGTGTTTCCCTGATGGATGTGGTGTGGAAATAGAATCATAGAATGGTTTAGGTTGGAAGGGACCTTAAAGATCATCTGGTGCCAACCCCCCTGCCACAGGCAGGGACGCCTCCCACTAGACAAGGTTGCTCCAAGCCCCTTCCAACCTGGCCTTGAACACCTCCAGGGATGGGGCAGCCACAGCTTCTCAGGGCAATCTGTGCTAGGGGCTCACCACCCTTGCAGGAAAGAACTTCTTCACAATACCTAATCTAAATCTCCCCTCTTTCAGTGTCAAACTGTTCCCCCTCATCCCATGGCTCCCCTCCCTGATCCAGAGCCCCCCCCCAGCTCTCCTGGAGCCCCTTTAGGCACTGGAAGGGGCTCTGAGGTCTCCCCTTTTTCTCGTTCTCTTCTGCAGGCTGACCCCCCCCACCCCCCCCAGCCTGTCCTCCCAGCAGAGGGGCTCCAGCCCTCCCAGCATCTCGGTGGCCTCCTCTGGCCCCGCTCCCCCAGGTCCATGTCTCTCCTGTGCTGAGGCCCCCGAGCTGGAGGCGGCACTGCAGGGGGGTCTCCCCAGAGCAGAGCAGAGCGCAGCAGAGGGGCACAATCCCCCCTCACCCTGCTGGCCACGCTGCTGGGGATGCAGCCCGGCATGCCGGGGGCTCGCTGGGCTGCCAGTGCATATTGCCAGCTCATGCTGAGCTTCTCATCCACCAACACCCCCCTCCGCACAGTCTGTATTTGTGCTTGGGATTGCCCTGACCTGTGCGCAGGACCTTGCACTTGACCTTGTTGAACTTCATGAGGCTTGCAGAAGCCCCCCTCTCCAGCCTGTCCAGCTCCCTCTGGATGGCATCCCCTCCCTCCAGCATGTTGACTGCTCCACACAGCTTGCTGTTTCCTGGATTGTTGTAGGGTGTGTGAATAGTACTGTGCGTGTGAAGGACTCAGTTTGGATTCTGTGCTCAAGCCTGTGGCTGGAAGAAGCATGATGCCATTGGTTCCAGTGGCAGGAGCAGCAGGAGGTGGAAAGACAGGTTGGAGGGAAACTTGGTTCTCCTTAGTTTCTCCTCTTCATCTCCAAGAGATCCAGCTTTCTCTGTACTCCAGGTTCCCCAAGTCGGGGCTGTTGCACTGAGGCCCTCATCCTGGCCAGAGGAGACTGGCTATTTGTCATGCTCTCTCCACCCTTCCTGCCATGGTGTCTTCTCATGGGCTCACTGCTTCGTTTTACCCCCTGCATACGTGTTCTCTCTGCAGGACTGGTAAATGAAGACAGCTCTGGGTAAAATGTGACTCCAGGCAGCGCAAGAGACAGCACAAGTGAAAGAGGTGCAAGGGAAAGATGAGGAGGGGTGTGTGTGAGGAAATAAAGATAATAGTTCTGAGCTCTGTACATGCTCTTTTGGGACAGGACTGCTGTTTGTTAGTTTTCTCCACTACCTGTGTGAAGAAGGGACAAACTACTGAGTGGGGAGAGGGTTTGGGAGGGGGGTGTGTACAGAAGAAAACCAAAGCCACTGGGCATGTGTGTACAGAGAGCCTTGTGATGGGGTTCTGTGGTGTGATGAGCACAGTGAAGCTCACCAGGTGTGAGTGAGGCTGGAGAGGTCTCCATAGGTGTGTCTGGACTGGGGCTTGGTCTGGAGGGAGAGTAGAGTTTGTATGAAAATCCTTACAGTAGTGGCATCTACTGCTGTTCTTAGTGCCTATGTTGGTCTAGGAGCTTTTGGGTCTGTCAGCTCTCTGCTGGTCTTGCTGTATAAATAGGACAGGGAAGAAAACACGCAGTGCCTCTTCTGCCTGACTCCTTGGCAGGTCCTGCAGCACACGAGGGTGTGAGGCAGGCCCTGAGCCCCTTCTGAGGACCAGCAGATCCTTCTGGCCAGTGTGTCCTAGATGTGCCCTCCTATCGCACTTGTGCGTGGGCATTCACTTTAAGTGCTGCACTGGGGAGATGCTGCTGCAGACTGCTTGTGGGCATAGAGTATCTGTGCAGTGGCAATGGGAAGAGTGTCTGGCAGCTCTTGAAGGCAGCCAGCAGACCTGGGACTGGTGCATGGACCCTCTTGGGCTTCCCAGTTCTTATCTAGTCCTCTTCTCTGCACTGGAAGTAGCCACTGAAAGGAACACAAGCAAAGCCTATCAGCACCTGCAGTCACACCAGAGAGAACTCTGTCACAGTTTGGAACACAGTTGACAGGGTAAGTACTAAATAGGCTCAGATTTAATAAAACCCAAAAAACTCCCTGCAAACAAAGGAAAAAAAAAAATCCCAACAACAGCACCCTACCCCTCCCACCCCCCAAAAAACAGCCCTCAAACCAAAGGAAACAACCCCAACTCCAAACCCAAAAAACTGTCTAGTCACCTATATATTTAATATTAACAAGTGGCACAACTTGCCTCTTTTGCAGGATAGATGGTGGAGTTCAGGAGATAAGTCAGGTGGGCCAAGGTGGTGGCTTCTAACAAAACCTCGTTGTCCTGTGGGACAGCACAGTCCAGTAGAAAGCCAGTGGGGCAGTGTTGCAGTTCTAGGTAGAGGTATATGGTCTGGGTGCATGGCCATTCCCGTTAGCCCTCAGGCATCCTTGTAGGTGTCTCTTGTGTCACCCCAGCAACCTCGGATGCTCTCAGTTGTAGGACTGGGTAGAGAATGCTGGCTGACATTCCCACAGCAGCTTGTGAGTCCCCGTTGCCGTTGCTGACACTCACAGCCTGCCCAGCTGGAAGGTTCTTGTGTTGGCAGGGACACAGCAACTGCCAGGTTAGTTACAGGAGTGTAATTTGAGGGTAAACAGAGTTTAACTGGTCCCAAACCTATGTCAAGCTAGCACAGCATCCTAGCTAATGGGATCCACTGTATGTCCTCCAGAGTGAGCTGTGATAACTGGGGCAGGGCAGGGGGCTTCAGCGTCCTTCACACCTCCCAGTGTGACCTGCTGTGGCTGGAGGGGTGGGTGGCATAGCTGGGCAAACGCCCCTCAGAGGCCTGAAGACACTTGCCAGCCTCTTAATGTTTGCATGGGAGACTGTCTTCCTTATTGCCAGGAAACTGGTTCGTGTCATACAAGCTGCTTTTCCCAGGGTTTGCCTACATGCCCTTCCTTGTTCTGCTCTGCCAGCTGCCCCAGTGATGGTGCTGGGTTCCCGAGAGCATTGTGTGGGGCTTGTGAGGGGTTTTTTGGTCCTTGTGGGGAAGACCTCTGTACTCAGTCCCTTATGACTTCTGACCGCCTCTGCTGCGGACCTTTCCCCAGCCACCCTGACTGCCCCCACCTCACGCTGTTTCTTTCCAAGCAGGAGCATGGCGCAGAGCAGACTAGTGGGCACATAGAGAGTGTTTCAGGGCTGCCTGCTGCCCCTCATCTGTGCTAGGGATTGCATCCAGCAGCTGAAAATAAGCTCTTGGAAGGAAGGGAACTGGTGAAGGGGAGCTGCCAAGTGGGACTATTTATACTCGGTGAGTCAGGCCTGTGCCTGAATCCAGCCAGACACTGGAGAGCTGGAACCCAGGAGCGACCTGCAAAGGACGTGGTTTTGGATAAGAGGCTTTCGCCTGCAGCTTGTTTACTGTAAGGTCAGAGTTGTCCCGTTTGTTCCCCGTGATGGACTGCACCTTTCCCTTCA